AAAGGGCTGAGACGTGAGTTTCGAACTCGAGACTCTCGGACGTTAATCCAGCACCAAGCACGTGTGCTATTGAGTCATTGTGGTATATTATTTAGCAAACTTATATTTGTGTAGTTACCCACGTTCGAGAGTTTTTTTTAAGTTTTATTTGCTTACTCTATTATTTCCAGAGCTTCATATGGATATTAACAGTATTGACTACCTTATTACTACGGTTTATGTAATATCCTGTAAAAAAAAGGTGGATACAAGTCTCCCTATTTCAGTGTTCACCCGGTTTAAAATCGTGGATCTTGAGGAACACACGAATTCATTCGACCAATCAAAAACGTGGAACTAGTTCGAGAGTCTCGTTCAGGTGGCGCGTCGACGCGCCAAAACACAGCTCCAGATTATCACGCGTAGTATTACTATATATACACGACCAATCAAAAACGTGGAACTGCTTCGTGGGCCCTCCGCTAAGGTGGCGCGCCGAAACCAGAGAAAAATTGAGACCACCAAAAACAGGCTCATTGACAATCTCCCTACTTATCTCTGAGTTGATATCCCCTGGAGTTAATACAGAAAAGGTTTTAATGTGGAGTAACTGGAATTTTACGCTTTTTCTTTGTAATATAATAATATTATTGATATGTGATATATTAATAAAAAGTAGTCATATTTTGAATTTCTAAACTATCCTAGGTCAACAAAATTAATTATATTTGTGATATATTTTACGTCAAAATCTGGTTCAGTCGGGTACAAAATGTCTAAAGAAATTAAGGCTACTTTGAAAGAGGCCCGGGAGCTGCTAAAACAAAAGGAGTATAAGGAAACAGTAAAGAAATGTAAAAAAGTCTTAAAAGAAGACAAGAGCAATTACGTTGCCCTTGTTTTGCTTGGTGCAGCTATGCAGGAAATAGATGAAGTTAGATCACAAGCTCCACTAGCTATGAAAAAAGCTATTGATACTCAACCAAATAATCCTTTAGCTTGGCAAGGGTTAATTGCATTTTATGAGAGAGAACCAGACATTGAAACAACATGGATTGAATTGATTCCAGCTTATTGTAAACTTTTACAAATTAACAGGTAGATTACCATTAACTGATTAATTGAAGGACTCAGATATACACTAATAGAGATTTTATTATTTTTCCAGTGATCCAACTAAATTTTCTCATTTTCTAAATAATATATCAATATTTTCACTTAAACTAAAAGATCATTGTGTAATCAATGAAGTCATTGAAACATTATGCAAAATAATAGAAATTTCAAGTGAAGAAAGAGTAAAACTTATAAATGCTGCATTGGCTTCCATTTTAATGCAATATCCAAATATTCAAGACAGGTACAACAATTTACTACAGAGTACACTTGCTGCAGTCAGTAAGGATTTAAATATAAAGAACAGACAGAATTACTACAGAAGATATTTGAAAATGTTATACAAGTCTCAAAACTTTAGTTTGCTGCTCTCAGAGGCGGCACTTATGCATGAGCAATTCAATAATGATCCGTATCCTTTAGGTAAGAAATATATATATATATACATGTGTGTATAGTTGTTCCACCAGTTCAATATTTTTTTTTAGCAAATCGAAAACAATAAAGTCTCTATGAAGGTACATGTGTTACTGCATAAAATGTTTATTAAAAAGTATCCATATGCATGGTTTTGCACAGAATATATTTTATTCTTCTATTGTAGCATATATTTACGTTATTTTATGGAATACCATGTGTGATTACTTAGGATTACATTGCTTGCAAACTGTTACTGAGCTCATGGACCAACTATAAATAGAGTTACTCAGTACAATAAACAAATTTAACACAAATATCTATAAGATAATATTTTCATAACAGAATGGATTTGTCGTGTGTACTCAGAGCAGAATATTCGACACAGCCAGTGTGATGGAATTGAAATATCGCAATTCTATGATGCTTTATTGACTATAGATGCAACTTCTAATTATGCGCTCTTTGCTAAAGCTGTTCATCTATACCAAACAAATAGTTTTCTAGAAGCACGAGACAATCTGAACCAAGTTGTTATCTCTGGTTCCCAATGGTTGTATGTCTGGATTTTATTAGCAGAGGTTAATGCAAAACTCTCTTGCTGGGAGAATGCAGAAAATGATGCCACACGTGCTTTGCATTTCATAAAAACCAACACAGAAAATGAATTAATAAACCGTATTCAACTTGTTCTAATTGAAGCTCTAGCTAAGGGAATGAATAAGCGAAAATGGGAACTTGTTGAACAAAAATTTAAAAAGGTAACGATTATTATGAAGTATAGTTGAAAAGTATTTATTAAAACTTTATATTTAGATTTCTGAGGCTCCATCGAACAAGCTACTTGTTTTACTGGCACGAGCTTATATTCTCCTGGGAGATTCTCGTGGTTTGGCATTATTAGATCATCTAGAGTCAGAGCCTGAGACAAAAGTAGAGGCAACAATCTTACGTGCCATTCATTTGAAAAATTGTAAGAACCTGGAAGAGGCTGCAGATGTTCTTGGCTCGGTATTGGAAACTTCTGAAGCCTGGCTCATGCTGGGAAAAATATATTGGGACATGTTCAACTATAGACACAGCCTGATGGCTTTTTTAAAGGGTATTCATGCTGATCCTTACAATTGGGAATGTCTAATTTACCTAGGCCACTATTATAGAGAGCATGGCAATGACCTTGAGCGGTCTAGACGATGCTACCAGAAGGCTCTAGTGATTAATCCCAGTTCTGAACAGGCTGGCATTGGTCTAAGTACAGCTTACAGACTTTTAAAGAACACTGTAATCATAAAGAATTAAAAGAACTACACATTATTTATCTAATTACAATACAATGTAGCATTAATTCATTATATAATTTATAGGAAGCAAATATGCAATTATTGCAACAAGTGACGACTGCTCATGGCAGTGGTCCAAAATGGGCATGGCTTCAATTAGGTTTACAATACTTGGAGCAAGATTATCCAACACAGGCCATTAACGCATTAAGAACTGTTATTCGAGCTGATCCAATTGATAAGTAATAGGCGCTGTTTTTAATTCGCGTGAAGAAATAACAAATATTAATGGTAGTATTATTCATAATATCTTTACAGTCATTCCTGGGAATGCCTAGCTGATGCATACTGGGCACGAGGTGCTCACATATCTGCTTTGAAATCATACCAGAGAGCTTTGGATTTAAGTCCAGGATCCTTTTATCCAATGATGCAACTAGCTAATATAAAACTGGTGAGTTTTATGTTTTGCAGCTAGAAATATTGAAATTATTAATCGATGTTATGCGGATATTAAATTATTTCCCAGATGTTGAGTCAACATATAGAAGCTAAACAAGACTTTGAACACGTACTGCAACAGGAACCTAGTTACATTCCAGCACTAAAAGGTTTAGCTGAAACTTGTTTAGGCCTTGCAAAAGAGTATATGCAGCAACGACTCTTAGGAAGAGTCAGGGATAATATACAACAAGCTACCGATTACTTAACGGAAGTTATCATTGAACGTAGTGATTTATCTTGCATTTGGAAATTGCTTGGAGATAGCTGTTATAGAATGGCGACATTGCCAAAGAAATATTGCACACTCAGTGTTGTACCAGATCTAGTGATGTCAAAAAGCCAGGGAACACGTATTAGCATTGGTAGAAGTGATATATTTTTGTTATCATCCAGGTAACTAAAAAAATATATTTAATATCATTTGCATCATATACTAATAAATTAATTAATTTGGTAATATAGATGCTATTGTCGTGCTTTGAGTCTTACTGCAGACTCTGCATTATTATGGCACGATTTAGCACAGTGCTACCTTAGTCAACGAAAACTAAATCCCATTGTAAACCCGAAGGAAATAATGCAAAAGAGTTTAGCAGCTGCTAAACAAGCTGTCAAACTTTCTCCAACAAACTGGTTTCATTGGAATATTCTTGGTGTTATTTGCATGTCAAAGGAAGTAAAAAACTATGCTCTGGCTCAGCACTGCTACGTTATGGCAATCGACAGGGAATCTAATAATGCCATTACCTGGACCAATCTTGGAACACTTTATTTATACCTAGGTATATGGTAATTTTATTTGTCTTAAATCCTCAAAATAATTTGAAATACTTAATATTTGGATATATATGATAACATATAGGAGATCCCTACCGAGCAAATGAGGCATTCTCACGAGCTCAAAGCGCAGATCCTGCTTATCTTAACAGCTGGATAGGTCAAGCTTTGATAGCAGAGAAAATGTCTAGAAAAGAAGCTATGGATTTGTTCAGACACGCTACGCAACTTGGTTATCATAAGCAGGCTACTCTTGGATATACCCATTGGGTTTTAACAACACTTTTAGATCCTGAAGCTAAAAAGGATCCAATGTATACTTATACTATTGAAAATATGCACGCTGTGACAGTAGCAACTGATGCTGTTACATGGTATTTGGGTACATACCGTACTAACTTTGTTATTCCAATAATTAAAAAATAGAATTATTGTACTATTTGTTTATATTTGTAGAAGATGTACCAGACGATCTCTGTGCTTTGAATGCTTATGGTCTTTTACTTGAACGACAAAAATTATACAAGCCTGCAGCTGCAGAGTTTTTAATAGCATTGAAAAGTGCTAATACCGATACACAAAAAGATGCATTAAGGGTGAACCTTTCTAGAATTCAATTACATCTTGGAAAGTACGATAAAGCTGTTGAATTATGTTGTGGAGTAAGAAACGCAAATTTTAATTCGCATTGTCAATTAGCTCTATCATTATTTAAAGGTTAGTATACTGTTTAATATAATATTTTTAATGTAACTGAATAAAATTAGCATTAATATCAATCTAAACTTGTATTTGTTATATTGTTATTAGCTGAAAAATATGAGGAGTCTTATGAGGCCTACTCAGCTGCTTTACACTGGTTAGCGGGTGCAGGATCCGACAAGGCTCATGTACTTTGTGCCATGGCTACTATAGCTTATATGTTCCAAGGACTAGATGATGTGAAAACGTTGCTTTTCCAGTCCATTCAAATTCAACCACCGACAGTAGCTGGTCTGTTAGCAGCAGCAGCTCTAGGAATTCTTCATGGGGACTCTAATTTAACATCATTAGTTGTTAAGGAATTGGAACCCTTCTGGGATGATCCAGATCACAGAAACGATATCGTGTTACTTTCTGCATATTCACGTGTGGTTCAAACCGATATTCAGGGTGCTATTCGCATCTTATCCAAAGCTGCGCACAAGTATCCATGTGAATAGAATTTCCATATTTTTTTCATATTGATATTCATGTTGTTACTGCATATTTTTATTAATTTTCAGCGGACGTAGGCCCATGGGTAGGCCTAGTGAGACTTTTGTTGGAGACGGATGTAAAAACCTTTGGCACATGTGCTCAGAAAGCTTTATTTTTAGGAAGAAAAACCTCTACTATAAGCATTGCCCAAGTGGCTTGTGTAGCTTCGCTAAGTCAATTGATGACTGGGGATACCGAGGAAGGTATTAGATCAGTACAAAAGACTCTTTATGCTTTTCCCGGTGTTGTAGAAAGCTGGGCGAACCTTATCGTTGGACTGTTGCCCAGGTATGCTGGATAGAGAAATGCTGTACCTAGTTAGTTATTTAGTTTTATTGACCTTCCGAGGATCAAGCGTCCTGGAATGAAATAAGGCTACCAGCTGGCAAATTGCGACACGTGTTAGACTTAGTGCCTCGCGCTGCCTGACTCGCATTGGCTTAGAAAGCATATAAACACGACACAGTTTTTATACATATTTGTCCGTGCAACCAGGAGTCGATTCCTCCCATCGACATATAGTATGGACTACGCGATCCTTACTTCAAATTCTTTCAAAAAATGACCGTTCAAATAAACAATGAGGAAATGAATTGGCGGTCAATCGCTCTTCTCTTCTAATCCTCCTGTTGACTACTTTATATTTCGTACTGCAGCTGCTGCATTAGAAAGAGACAGGGCTTGGCCGCCACCAATCGCTATCTTTTTCTATCAGCCGACAATTTTTCCTGTCCTATGCGTAGTGTATACTGTACGTCAATGATACCTCTAAAGACTATAATACTATACGTGCATTCCGACTCTCCTCGTTCCGAGCACGAGAAGAGATTACGAACGACTGCCAAACTAAGCAGTGGGGATGCCGGTTGATCCTCAGAAAGTTAAAGACATTTATTAAATTTGATCGGTATGTTTAGCTGATGAACATAACAAATCTTTTGTATAAGAGTATTTGTTGACAAAAAATATTAATTTTTATAGATGCAGTAAAAAGGGTTCAATACCAAGTGCTCACTGGTTAACAGTATTAATATCAATTGTGAGAAAAAAAACACAAAGTTCGAGGACAATGGCACAGTGGTTGTCGAATAATGAGAGAAAAGCCAGTCTTATCGCTGATCAGCTAGCTTCTGATTAGTAACTATTATTTAAACATGTTTTTAGATATTAATAAAAATAAGCGATATTCGTGTAATAATTTATAAATTTTTCCGTAGTTAAATTAGATGAAATAAAAACAACTTAGATTATATTTTTTAAACTTTTATTTGGATTCGTACTCATATTTGTATTTGATTAGTATTATCCTTTAATGCAATACATTTCATATCTACTATTCAATTTTACGGTATGGAATTAAACAAGACCTGTTAAACCTGACCTATGCTGCTGTGTAGGACGTCTGTTAAACTGAAATTGGTGTTGTCCTCGATCATTGAAAGCAGAATGATATCGATTCATTGTTTCACGTTGCTTCGAATCTATCTCTTGTGAGAGATGTTCATCCATTGGCTACATTAAGAGGCAGAAAAATGAATTATAATTTATAGATACTATAACCCTGTGGATTGATTATTTTCAAGGGACCATCCGGAAAAAATGCGGGTCGTCTGGGCCTAGATTCGAACCCGGGACCTTTCGATTACTCTGACCACTGAGCTACGCCAACCGCTAACCACACTTTCCCCGAATCGTCCTTACTAACGAAAATTCATTATCGTTACAGTATTTATAATATCTAGATGTTACACTGGTATTATGAGAAAGGAATAACAGAATGAAAATATAAAGAGTTAGAAAAACTTACAGATTGCTGTACATGCCCATTATCCTTCAATTGTCTCAACAATTTAACTATTTCTGATGATTCATCAAAATTTGCTCTTTGAACAGCAGCCTCCACTTGTTCAATCTGTTATAAAATGCAAATTTAATATTAAAATATTTGATTAATTTGTAAGGTTAACAATAAGTAGAATATGTATAAGTAATTGTTTCAGATGTACATGTACCGTACCGTGTCAATGAAATAACTCTCCTTTCGCACATTAGGATTATCGTTTGAAAGTGATGCTCTGAAATATGGAATAATGTCGTTGACTCTATCGAGGTTGGCAAGAGCAGCGATTTTAATACATCTTATAGTGATGTACCCAGGCCTTCGGATTGTAGAGGTAATTTCAAGTGCAGCATGTGGTGCATTTTGCTTGAGAGCTAAAGCTCCTAAAAGGGCAACTGCTTTTCGTAATGCCACAGTACCCCTATCAGTTAATTCTTTCCACAGTTTTATAGCATATTCATAACTTTCATGTGTATTCTATATGACACAACAAATTGATTAAATCGCTAATATAAACGCAACCTTTAATAAGTTTATGGAATTATTATTACCTGTTTATAGCAGGCTGCTAAAACCAGAACAACTGGATATTTTGGATGTTTCAAACCATTTATACCTTTAGTTATAATAATATCATATACTTTCTTAACGTCATCATATTTTTTATGATTGTAAAGAAGATCCATTAAAATTTGGTATGTTACAATTTGATCAAAGAAACCATCCAGTGATGGATTAAAGAATAGATTAAATGCTGTATCTGGTTCATCAAGATAGTGCAATGTTCGCATGACAACAGGTCCAAAATGATAAGTTCCAAATCTCAGCTCTTTATTTTGAGTATTGAACTTTATCATCATCCGCGTAATTAAGTCAATATCCTCAGTATTTTTTCCTGCCAGGTGCAGCATGGCTTTTAAATCCTCAGTAAATATCATATTAGTTTCTACATCAACAAACTCTTTCATCTTCTTGCGGAAGTTATCCTCGACATTGAAAAATTGCCTTTTAACATTCTCTCTAGTATTGATGTATCCATCAAGACCTAAGCTGGCTTGAGTGAATAAAGAACGACTACCTAAATCAAAAGAGGTATTGAGATCATTAAAAAAAAATAAAAGGAAAATCTAATTAATCTAACACGATTATATAAACTCATGTGAATTAAAAAATGTTAGATATTCGTTTACACGCCCATATTTCAGTCACGGAAGTCATTCAATTTTTAACTTGTTTATCTATGGCTTATATAGTGCATTATTCAATATAGTTTAATATAAAACTGAAAATTGATAGGTTATGTAAACTTTCTCATACCGTCATTGAATATTTTCTTAGTAATAGCATCTTTCAGCAAGCTTGAATTAACACGACAAAATGCCCTTAAACTTGCAGCCATTTTTACATACAATATATAAGAAAATGATTAGAAACGGGTACGCAATTTGCCGAACACAACTTTCACGACGAGACCAGGAATACAAGGGCTTTCCATAAAGCGGAAAGTGATAACCTAAATGGAAAGTACTGAATATGACTTCCGTTTCGTTATAGCAAATTTACGAACGTATATTAACAATATGATAACAAAATTCTTCTACAAAATTTAAATGAAAATGCATTATAAGTGAAATAATATCAAATTATTAGATATATCTTCTGCATTCACTTAAAAATTTGGTTAATCAATCAATCGCCCGGGAAATATGATATCCCCCAAAAAACACTTACGTGTAAAAAACTACGCCAAGTACAGGAGTGCTGTGTATTCCTCTAATAAAAAGTATTGATATCAGATTATTGAGGCCAAGTACATAAGTCACTACATGTTTGCCTATTATATAATCTAACACTGGCCCATCATTTTAATTATATTTTCAAAATTTCCTATAACGTTTTCACTACTCTTTTATATTACTACTACTTTCCGTAGTTGATTATGATTTAATGGTTATTTAATAATTAATAAAACTTTAGCTGATTCCTTATAGAGTACTACTTGGCGGATCAGTGCCAGGAATTCCAAAGTACTTACTTTGAACGTACTAATAGTATTCTAAAACTATATGTTTGTTATTAAGCTTTTACCGTGATTATTTTTTACGAGTTATTATTAAGAAGCTCTAGAAAGTTCACATTGGTTTTGAGTTTATGACTGGCATAATGAACGTGTTAGAGTATTGATTAGTTTTGTAAAACTCAAGATCAATCGAAGATAAATGGTGTGTTTATGACCCTCTGTGATTGGTCAGAAGCGAGGGAGGGTTGGTTTGAGAAGAACAATAATAAAAGAGAAGCAGCGTGGGGATGGGACGGAAGCGGGGGAGAGTTCAGTCGTGTGTGGGCCGGGACGCTGTTAGGACAGGACTCGCGTGACAAAACATATAGATAAGTACACCTTGTATAATTGTCTTCTGTAGTATGAAATACAATTGAAATCATTACGACCAGTTTGTTGGTTGGACGACATTCTGTGCTGATTGTTACGTTATAAATACAATTTACTGATCCATCGTCTTCCGTATTTGTTTAATCATCCTTGACTTGCCCACGGTATGTATACTGCTTGCACGTGGTTCACTGCTAAATTAAATAGAGTAACAATACTAGTATCACGTGGTCTTCCTGAGTTTCTTTTAAACTAACAAACGCAAATTTATGTCAAGAAATGCATGGACCCGCCAAGTAGTGCTCGATAAGGAATCAGCTAAAGTTTTATTAATTATTCAATAACCATTAAATCATAATCAACTACGGGAAGCAGTAGTAATGTAAAAGAGTAGTGGAAACGTTCTAGGAAATTTTGAAAATATAATTAAAATGATGGGCCAGTTCTAGATCATATAATAGGCAAACATGTAGTGACTTATGTACTTGGCCTCAATAATCTGATATCAATACTTTTTGTTAGAGGAATTCACAGCACTCCTGTACTTGGCGTAGTTTTTTACACGTAAGTGTTTTTTAGGGGATATCACAAGTTTTTGTTGCTCAACGGGAGATAGAAGCTCTAAGCACTGAAATCTATATTGTCACAGATATAAAATGTAAATGCATTATGATGTTGTTAATCAGAAAAATATATTGCGTTGTCGAAAATGTTAATTGGCATATAAATTTAATTTGTAAGTCCCTTTTCTAGAGATGCATAAAGATATATACAAATTTTTAAAGAAAATGTAATCTTTAATGCATATAAGCGTCGTTAATAGTGTCCAGCTTGTTGAAACCGTGTGGTAAACGTATGAGAGGAGAGTGTGCTGGATTATTTACGTACCTCAGGCCGTGCGAACAACAGAGAGGATACTATAGTTTGAGCGAAGCGCCAAAGCGGCGATCGTTGCGCACTTTTCACTTTTCTGGACTTCTACGTCCGACACCTAGATACAAGAAACTACGGAGCGGAACACCTGGACACCCTGGACTTCCACGCCCGACACCTAGATACAAGAAACTACGGAGCGGAACACCTGGACACCCTGGACTTCCACGCCCGGCACCTAGATACAGGAAAGTACGGAGCGGAATACCTGGACATCCTATATCTCTAAGAGCTGTCATCTCAAATACGAGAAAATATATCGAAGCACACACATATGTACACCCATAAATGCGCGCTCCACATGAATGCTATTAAAAACTTAATAATTCTATACTATTCAGAAAGCACCCTTATACTAACTAGAAATTCGGTATAAACTGTAGCTGCACGTATAAAGTGTATTTGATAGTGTTGTGTATTCGTAAATTACTAACACCATACAAAGTACGAATAGGTAAAGAAGGCTGTGACGTGAGCGACAACGTTCGACATCCTTCCTTCCTTTCCTTATGGCTGCCTCCTCAATGAGATGTGCCAGTAACTGGTCCGTAAAAGTCAGGTAGGAGTAGATAAAGTTGTCCACAAAGATGATAGGTTTCTATGTTACTTAGAATTTGTCTATTGTGTAGCCAGCGACATTCCGTAGCTTATGATGTGAGTGAAGCATAAAGCGAGGTTTGTACAGAGATCAGTAGGGAGATTGCCAATGAGCCTGTTTTTGGTGGTCTCAATTTTTCTCTGGTTTCGGCGCGCCACCTTAGCGGAGGGCGCTCGAAGCAGTTCCACGTTTTTGATTGGTCGTGTATATACAGTAATACCAGAGATGAGTAGGGAGATTGCCAATGAGCCTGTTTTTGGTGGTCTCAATTTTTCTCTGGTTTCGGCGCGCCACCTTAGCGGAGGGCGCTCGAAGCAGTTCCACGTTTTTGATTGGTCGTGTATATACAGTAATACCAGAGATGAGTAGGGAGATTGCCAATGAGCCTGTTTTTGGTGGTCTCAATTTTTCTCTGGTTTCGGCGCGCCACCTTAGCGGAGGGCGCTCGAAGCAGTTCCACGTTTTTGATTGGTCGTGTATATACAGTAATACCAGAGATGAGTAGGGAGATTGCCAATGAGCCTGTTTTTGGTGGTCTCAATTTTTCTCTGGTTTCGGCGCGCCACCTTAGCGGAGGGCGCTCGAAGCAGTTCCACGTATATCCATATGAAGCTCTGGAAATAAT